TCTCTTCTTTGTGCTGCGTCCTTGCGGAGCCCTTGGGATGAGGAATAGAAGATAAAGGACAGGCTGAAGGCAGGTGGGGGGTCTCAGGGAGCATGTAAGGCCTGACCAGCCCTTAGCCCCTCTGTTCCCCAGGGAGAGCATGACCTCATGGCCAGTGTTGTGCGTGATTGAAATGACCACACAGGCGCACCTCACTCCCTCCACTGCTGGCCAAGTGAGCCTGGGCACTATTCCATCCATTTCCTCACTGGGAATGATGGAACTGATGTCATCCTTAGAAAACTCTCAGATGAATTAAAATGGATGATGACTATAAAGCACCCAGGATATGCAGGACGCTGAGCTGATGCTGAGCTATTTGAGTAGACATAAGGTCAGACCACTCCTGGAATCAAATCAGAGCTGCTCCTGGTCAGCCCCTGGGAATTTGACACTGTTGTCTGTTGAGGGGGCTGGGAAGAAAGGAGCTCAGGCCCTCTCAGCTCTGACATCCTGGAATGCCAAGATCCCCTACCAGGGACCCCAGGATAGGGAGCACAGGCAGGAAACCCCAAAGGGAGGCACCTAGACAACTTGAAATCGATGGGAGAGAAGGCATAATATAGCCATTTTACAGACAGAAAAAGTGAGCTCTAGTCTACCCCAGGGCCCATTCTGGGAGAAGAGGTGTTACGGATGGAATCGTGTTGCCCAAAAAGTTATGTTCAAGTCCTACCCCCGTATCTGTGAATGTGATAGGTGGAATGAATCGGAAGGAAAATCATCACCCGGACCCTATTCCAAAGCACGAGATCCGAGAAGAACCACATCACCTCCTGTTTCCTGGCTGCCTTCTAGAGTTTACCCTCCCCAGTACACTTGCGCAGCCACCATCTTGCTGCCCAAATCACATATAAGCCCTGCCTCCCCGTAGCTTGGGGAGCTGGATCTGAGGAACTTCCTCCGGGCTCCTTACTCTGTGCATTGCAATGAAGCTACTTTCTCTTTCTCAAAGACCAGGAAAAAAACCCACTGCCATCTAGTCGACTCTATAGGACAGACAAGAACTGCCCCATAGAGTTTCCAAGGAGTGCCTTGTGGATTTGAACTGCCAACCTTTGGGTTAGCAGCCGTAGCTCTTAACCACTACACCACCAGGGTTTCCTCTCAAAGACTGGTATCCAGATAATTGGCAAGTCTGAGCATGCCAGACAAAGACTCATCTTTCTGTGTTCGGTAACTGGGCTACAGACAAAAAGGGACCCTCCCCAAGAGCCAATGCCTTGATTTGGACTTCTAGCTTCCAAAACTATGAGACAATGCATTTCTGTTCTTTAAAGCCACTCATTTGTGGTGTTTTTGTTACAGCAGCCCTAGATAACAAAGACAGATAGGCAAGGAGAAATGGAGCCCCTGGGAACACTGTCCTCAGCTTTTTGAGCTCCTTCTCTAGGCTCCCGTGAGGGTGCGGAGTGATGGACTTGGGGAAAGTTGCTGAGGCTTCCGAGTTCCTTGAGGGGCCTTCCGGAAGATGGGCAGAGGTGTCCAAGCCACCCAGAGCTCCGGACCCTTTAGCAGGACTTCTGGCTGTGCTCTGCCCTGATGGTGGCTTCTCTCTGCCATTTCTTGAGGACACTTCTGAAGGGGACCCAAATTTCACCACAGCTACCTGCCCCAAGCCCTCCTGGAAAAGTTCAACCTGATGTGGCCCCTCGGGAGCAGGCCAGCCCCACCCCCAAGGAGAAGTTCGAAGTTACAGATAGCCTCCCCTCCCTCCAGCTCCCATACCTGGACCTCCAGGTCCAAGCTGCCAGAGACTGAGGGTCCAGATGGTCCCAGCAGAGTCCTCACCTGGGGTGCCCGAGACCTCGACTCTATGGTGGCAAGGCCACAGTGCAGAGATAGGGCAGACCCTGCCCTTTGAGAGCTCACTGACCCCTGGTGAGAGAGGACCTGCTTGTGACACAGAAGATAACAATCCAGAGCCGACCACAGCCTGGAGGGACATAGAGTTAGCAGTATGTGGACAAGGGGTGACCTTGGGGGTCAGCAGGGAGGAGGTGTTCCTTCCCAGTGGTCTGCAGCAATCAGAAAAGGGGAAACTCAGTGGGAAAACAGTCGTTCTGTGCTCACACGCGGTGACACACCTCCATGGCAGCCTGGGCCAGGGTCACTGTTATGGATTGAATTGTGTCCCCCAAAAATATCTGTCAACTTGGCTAGGCCATGATTCCCAGTATTGTGTGAATTTTCCACCACTTTGTCATCTGATGTGATTTTCCTATGTGTTGTAAATCCTGTCTCTATGATGCAATGCGATGGGGTTAGCAGCAGTTATGTTAATGAGGCAAGACTCAATCTATAAGATTAGATTGTGTCTTGAGCCAATCTCTTTTGAGATATAAAAGAGAGGTGAGCAGAGAGACTGGGGGACCTCATACCACAAGATAGCAGCACCAGAAGCAGAGCACATCCCTTGGACCTCAGGTCCCTGGGCTGAGAAGCTCCTAGACCAGGGGAAGATTGATGACAAGGACTGCCCCCCAGAGCCAACAGAGAGGGAAAACGTTCCCCTGGAGCTCGTTGCCCTGAATTTGGACTTCTAGCTTACTAGACTGTGAGACAATAGACTTCCGTTTGTTAAAGCCATCCAATTGTGGTATTTCTGTTACAGCAGCACTAGATGATTAAGACAGCCACCTTCTTCTTTCTCAGGAAAGTTGTTGTTGTTATGTGCTGTTGAGTCGAATTCCAACTCATAGTGACCTTATATGACAGAGTAGAACTGCCCTCATAGGGTTTCCTAGGCTGAAGTCTTTATGGGAGCTGATGATCACCAGGTCTTTTCTCCCGTGGAGCCGCTGGTGGGTTCGAACAGCCAGCCTGTCAGTTAGCAGCCGAGCTCTTACCCATTATGCCACCAGGGCTCTTTTCCTCAGGGAGTACCCCCAATTTGGTGTAGAATTAAGTTTAGAAGCTGAGCTTAGCTGCAGGTGAAGAAACACCCCAAGAGCTCGCCTCTGCACCTGTGTGTGACTGGGTGAAAGCCTCTAGCACATCCCTGGTTTCCTGTCCTGTCTGTGGGCCAGACTTAGGTCAGACTTCAGCAGAAAAGGTGCAGATAGGAAGTCGGGAAGTCAGGAGGCCTGGTTTGGCATACTGCTGTCTCATGGTGCAACTCTGAGCAGGTTACTGCGGGGTCTGGGTCTCAGTTCCCTCCTCCGTGAAAGAGAAGAATAGCCCTCCCTCACCAACCTGTTGTGAGAAGAGATAGTGCGTGTGAATGTGCTTCATAAACTGTGAAATTGTGTAAGTGGGTGACTGCCTTCTCCCTAAATTTACCTCTAACTCTAAAACCCCATCCATCTTTCCCACCTTTGTCCCTTGGGCACCAATATCTCATATCCCTACCACGTCCTCCTCTGTCTATCCCCTTACCCTTTCTTATCCTCAGGTTCTGCTCACTACTGCTGTAAGGAGGGGACCTGCCCTGAGGCTGAGTGGACAGCAGGAGCCAGGAGTGGGCAAAGCAGAGGGCTTAAAATCTGGGCCTGGGTTCAAATTCCCATCCTACCCTTCTCTGAACACACTGAGAGTTCCCTGTGGTCATCAAAGGTCATAAAATGGAGTGACTAGCAGAACACACCCCAGATCCTAGGTGACTGAGGCCTAATGGCAGCCCAGCCTTGCAACAGATATTAGACGGCAGAACCCCTAGTGGCTGCAGCTGGAATTACTCACACACAGACACTTGGAAAAAAAAGAAATGTTGCCATGGAGTCTGTTTGACTCATGGTGATCCCATGTGTTTCACAGTAGAACTGTGCTCCATAAAGTTTCGGTGGTTGTAATCTTACGGGCAGCTGGGTGGTGCAAACAGCTAAGCATTTGATTACTAGCTGAAAGGTTGGTGGTTTGACTTAATGGCAACTAACAACAACAACAATTGTATGGAAGCAATTTGCCAGACCTTTCTTCCACAGCACCACTGGGTGGATTTGAAGTGCCAATCTTTTGGTTAGTAGCAGAGTGCAAACCATTTGTGCCACACACAGCTACACTGCTGTCCTAATTTCCCTCCTTCCGTCCTTCCCTTTCTCTCCTCCTCCTCTTCCTTCTTCTTCATCTCTATCTCTCTGACATCTTTTTTAAATTAAATCTTAAAAGTATTGACCTTCACTACATAAAGAGATGCTCGATTCTATCATGTATTTATGTATTAATAAAGAAAGATTTCTCAAGTGCCCACAGGTGCTGGGAGCTGGGGATGCAGAGAAGATGCTTAGTCCAGGCCCCTGTGCTCCCTTCTCCTCTCCCCTCCTGAAGCCATCCATCCTCTCTTGTCAATCCTTGCTCAGGGCTCTCTGCTCTCTTTGCTCCTGGCCCTCCTCTAACTGACCTTTGCCAGGGACACTCTCTGCATCTCTGTTCCTGGAACTGAATTGAATTTCCACCTCCTCTCTCCCCTTTTCGGCATTCACAAAACCTCCCAGGGTGGAGACACACCACTGACCCACCAGACAGGCCTGGGCGTGAAGTCTCTAACTACCCCTGGGGACCAGTGGGGCTTAGGGCTCCAGTCAGACCACTAAGAGCCCTCCTGGCCTTGTCAGTCACCTTCAGCCCGACCTTCCCTGGGGATGGAGGCAAGTCAGGACCCTGCAAAATAGAGTCAGTGCATCGAGTAAGAGAAAGAGGTGGGCAGTCCATTATCTGACCACAGTTTCCTCCGGCCTTCTCAGCTCCTCCCCTGTGGGGAGGTCATAGTAGAAAAGGGCAGCTGGGCGTGGGAGAGGCAGACCCCTCCTCAGAGCTCTGTGCTGGCGTGGGGCTGAACCCTCCAGGCGAGAGTCCCAACTACAGCTAGTTTCCAGCCTTCCCTGGGCCCCTGCCCTCCCTGGATCTCCCACTTCCCCGGCCTAAGCCTTAGCTTTTCTCGTTCTTTCTATCTCAGAGGTGCCGGGGGAGCTAAGCAGAATCAGGCCCAACTCCTGATTCCCAGCACACAGGGAAACGGCCACATGACTTGGGGATCCCTACTCTCACAACTGCTGCTGCTGCCGCTGTTCTCAGGTGAGCGGGAAGAGAGAGCAAGGGGAGGCACAGGAGGTGTCATGGGACTATTGGGACAGCTGGAGCCAGGAGCAGGGGGCTCTGGCCCGAGGGCTGATGGCGGGGCAAGTTCTGAGTGTGGCCCTGACCCCTGGCTTGTTTTCCAGGCTCCCCTAAGGTTGAGGAGCTTCAGCGCAGGGCAGGGCAGACACTCTCTGTGAGATGCAAGTACCCGACCAGGACCGGTGCCTACGAGAAGAAAAGCTTGTGTAAGGAAGTGTCAGCATATCAGTGTATCAGTTTAGTCTCTAGCTCCCAGCCCTGGACACTGGCTCAGACCTCTCGATTCTCAATCTGGGACAACCCTACTGATGGCTTCTTCACTGTCACCATGATCAGTCTGAGGGAGGAAGACTCAGGACACTACTCGTGTAGAACCTACCATGCTTCTGGAAAATCTGTCTTAAGGTCCACAAAGTTCTATCTGGTGGTGTTGACAGGTGAGCCCCTTCCCTATGGCCCTTGGGGGGAATGCCTCTCACTGATCTTGGAAACCAGGCCCCCTGAGTCCTGAGAAGGCTGTTGGGAGCATGTTCCCAGGGGACTGTCATATGTGTACACATATGCACCCACTTCACACACGGCCAGGCTCCATGATTTACAAGCCTTCAGCCAATGGCCTGCTCAAAGAAGCTCAAAGAGATCACTTGAGCATGCTGACCCGTCAGAGCCTAGGAGACCCAAGATTGCCTGACATCTTTGGAGAAGGCAGCTGTACCTGTCACATAGTGGATGTTCAGTAAATGTGTGTCAACTGGCTGTAATCCACCCCTGCCACGTGAAGCTGGTGACCCTAGTGGGCTTGATGGTATCTGGGTGAGGGCCTGCCCATCCCTCATGGTCCAGATCAGGGGTCAGTAAACTACAGCCTGAAGCTAAGAATGGTTTTTATGTTTTTAAATGGTGGTGAGATAATCAAAAGAAAATAACATTTCATAACATGTGAAAATTATAGGAAATTCAAATTTCAGTGTCTATAAATAAAGTTTTATTAGAACACTGCCACACCCATTCATTCACTTATTTTTTATGTTTTTATATAAAAGCCCCTTGTTTTGATTGTGTATTTGCTTCGTTAGCCAGTATATCTCAGCAAGTAATTCTTTGGGTTTTAGTACTTCATCATCAATTATAGCTGCAAAACTCACACTATATGAGTGTATTAGTTTTCTATTGCTACTGCAACAAATTACCACAAATTTATTATCTGTAGATCAGAAGTCTAGTACGGGGCTCACCAGACTAAAATCAGGGCGTTGGTGGGCTGTGTTCCTTTCTGGACCCTCTAGGGTAGGATACGCTTCCTGCTCATTCAGGTTGTTGGCAGAATTCAGTTTTGTAGGACTGAGATCCTGTTTTCTTACTGGCTATAAACTCTGGGCTATTCCCAGCTTCTAGAGGCCCCCACATTCTGTGGCTCATGACCCTCTCCCTCCATCTTCAAAGCCAGGAACAGTGTGTTATGTTGCATCTCTTTATGACTGCAGCCAGAATAGGTTTTCTGCTTTTAAAGATTCATGAGATTAGATTAGACCCACAGGGATAATCAGAGTCCCTGGATGGTGCAAATGGTTGAGCACTCAGATGCTAACTGGAAGGTTGGCAGTCCAAACCCACCCAGAGGCTCAGTAGGAGATAAGACCTGGCAATCTGCTTCCATAAAGATTATAGCTTAGGAAAGCCTATGGGGCAGTTCTACTCTGTCACATTGGGTTGCTATGAGTCGGAATCGACTCAGTGGCACAGAACAAAAACATCTTGATGTGGGCAGATTATCAATAATTCATGGACCAGCACTAGTCCATAGATTACAAGTTGAGAAGCACTGGTCTAGAATTTTCCCCAAGTGTCATGAGCTCTTCCCCCAAGTTGGGCACAGGGATTGTTCCTGGCCAGCATTTCAAGCAGCTGCGCGGAATGTATCCCTGTGGGACAAAATCATGTCCACATGCCCTTCCAGGGCAGCCCCTGGGCCTCAGGGTGCTCCACCCTGGAGCTCTCCCCTCCAGGTCTCTCCTAGCCCTCAGCTTCTTTCTTTCCCCCAGCTCTGGGAGAGGCTCCTCCTCTCTCAGACCCTCAGCTCGGTGTTCAGATCTATCCGAGGACACTGAGAGCCCCTACTTCCTCTCACAGCCTTGAGGCTGACCCCATTTTCTCTCCTATCTGCTCCCCCTCTAGCAGCGATTGTCTTTTCTTTGTCCTAATAGCTCCCACCATGACCTCCCCGTGGTCTCCACCAAGAGCTCTGAGCACAGGTAAGTCTGAGGTCTTAATGGGAAGGTGGTGCAGTAGGAATGGTGGGCAGACAACTCACGAGGTCTCAGAATCAAGAAGGGACACCAGAAAGGCATTTCCCAGGCTGTTGAGGGACTGGGGTCTACAGGGGGCCCCCAGGGCTCTGCCAAAGAACCAGGAGAGGCAGGACCAGCAGCCTTTAAAATTCCCTGTGAGGAAAGATTAGTCCAAAGGACTAATGGACCACAACTACCACGGCCTCCACCAGACTGAGTCCAGTACAACCAAATGGCGCCCGGCTACCACCACTGACTGCTCTGACAGAGATCATAACAGAGGGTCCCGGACAGAGCTGGAGAAAAATGTAGAACAAAATTCTAACTCACAAAAAAAGACCAGACTCACTGGCCTGACAGAGACTGGAGAAACCCCAAGAGTATGGGCCCCGGACACCCTTTTAGCTCGGTAATGAAGTCACTCCCTAGGTTTACCGTTCAGCCAAAGATTAGACAGCCTCATAAAACAAAACAAGACTAATGGGGCACAACAGCCCAGCGACAAGGACTAGAAGGCAGGAGGGGACAGGAAAGCTGGTAATAGGGAACCCAAGCTCAAGAAGGGAGAGTGCTGACATGTCGTGGGGTTGTTAACCAATGTCATAAAACAATATGTGTACTGTTTAATGAGAAACTATTTGTTCTGTAAACCTTCA